ATACAACACTAGAGCAGCAAACGTAGAGAACGATGCAGAAGCCATTATCATATCTTGGAGATTGGAACATGGAGTGAATATTAAGCTGAAGCCCTGAATGAAACTAAGACCAAATGGAAGCACTACAAAATATACATACTTTTTGAAACAGTATTGTGAAGGACAGTGAGCACCCTCCCTGAATCTATTATGCTTCCTAACTCATTCCTAAAATGTCACTTTTGAATGCCCTACAGCGCAGTTATTCTATTCTCGTGTCGTAAATACCGATAAGGTGACCCCTCTTAACTAGCCCTGAGTGGACAGGCCATTATTGATCAAGAAAATCGGAGGCTTACATTGTAGTAGACGCGACTATAGATCATTCATCTGGGGTTCTTCCAAAGGTCTCCTCTGAGGCTCTATTGGGCATAGTAAGAGTTGATAGGTCAGTTAAGGAAAGCGAGGAAAGGGAGAAAAAGCGCCCCGGTGTGGTCCTCGCTAGTCATCCTCCCGCACCTCCAAAACAAAGTCGGAATTGGATTCCCGCCCCTCATCTATAAGAGACTTTTAAGCACTCAATATTTGCCACATACATCCCTACCTAAAAGCGTCTCTGAGCTGGTGCCATCAGAAAACTTGTTCCTGTGATAGTCGGAGAGAGATTATAGCCACTGCGCAGCCGAATGGAAAGATGCCAGGATCGTGGTGCCCACGACAGTGGGCTAATCATTGGAACACTGGTCTAAAACAAATGCAATAACAAAGAAAACGGGATCGAAAACAACCCCATATGGAAGCGCAATTTCATCGCCGACACCCATGCGCAAATGAGGTGAGCAGTTACATTAAAAACGAAACCAATTCGGTTGGCTCGCGGCTGTCGTTTCAGTCGTTAATAACCTGCCTGTTGAACAGGGATGCAGTTTATGCTAAACTCAGTCGTTCTCAACCCTTCTGTTTAGGAGAAGTTGAGGGTTCTTCCACCCCAAGTATTTGCTCTTCATTCGCACCGCAGGAGCTTGTCAATAATGATGGAAATCAAGACAGAAGTCGTAATAAAGTGAGGCTTGCTTTCGGCTGCAACAAGTGCAACGTCCCGAGACTTCCCATTAGGTGAAGAAAGCATTAGGCACTGTTGAATGCTTGCATTCAGAAAGAAGGGGAAGTCGAACTTCAAATTAGTCTGAAGGCCAGCTCGTGTAGCCAAGAGCAGGATGAATAATGAACTGTCAGCATTAGAATCGGATGCTTTTGCTTGAGTCTAAGCTGCGCGTAAGCTTCAAGGGAAGAGACGCAATTTCGGTATTATCATATAGGAACTGCGGATATTGCAACCTGATTAAAGGCGTATTTATCGACGGGACATAGTACAAAGGTTCAACCGACCGAAATGAAATTCTCCATTCGGCATTCATTGGTATTTTGATAACCCTATTACAGTATTGTTCCAAGCCTTCTTCGCAGTCGAAAAAGATGTAGTGCTAAGGTAATGAAGAAGGGCTGTTACATTCGTGAACCGGAGGCGATGCTAGCCAAAGAAATCACAACTAATTAAGCCTTGGTAATCCGCGCAATGGGCAAAAGCAGGTTTTAATGCAACAATCTATTTAAATTACCGCCAAACAGACACCACGGTCACTACTTAACCTGTGCTCAGCATTAGCCCTATCTTTAAGCCTTCTTACAAGTCTTCCCGCTCAAAGCTCACCCCAAATGTACAAATTCTTACCCGAGCTTGCATAAGCTCAATATTATGGTAGTTCCTTCCTCCACTATAGTTGATGTTGGTGATATGAAGCTACCGCACCGAGCAGGTGATGTAATCGACCAAATTCGATCGCTTATTCACTTTCATAAGCAAACAAACAAACAAACCAAAGCACCCACAAAGATGTAGGCAAAATTTGAATAATTCATTCTTTTATTTTTACACTAGTCTTTCGCAAGAGATTCAAAAAAAGAAGAGCAAGTTGAGTTTGCTCTAGCACATTCATCCAAGTCGCAATGAGGCATTTTAAAACACCGAACGAAGCTGATGCAGAAATAATCACCAGACTGGTAGTAATTGGGGATAACATTGGTGCTGAAGCCGTAGTTTTTCTAGAATTCAGTCTTGTAGCTCGACACAAACTTATGTCCAAGCTAAAGTTGCAAACTCTTGACGAAGTAATACCAGAGCCAGCGCACAAAGTGCAACGCAGTCTGTTTCTCGTATTGCAAAAAATGGCTTGAAACATGTGGTACATGATACACGTAAAACAAGTCTATTTTGCTTATAGTGTTAATTGACTTGTGGTTAGATTTAACATACACAAATGCTGTGTAGTGCAACATCGACTTCAACTACACTGACAAAAAAACCGAACTGAATGAAGGCCAGCAATATGACATCGGTGAAGAAAATTGAGACACTCTCAACCCAGTAGTCATATTCATACAAGGGTCTCATACTTCGAAGAGAACACAAGAAAAATGCATGCGAATCAATGAGGTAATCCAATAAGAGTAAAAACCGGTAAATATGTGACCTGTCTTCACAAAAGAAATGATACCCTCCGGGAACTTAAAGGTTAATTAGCCCAAATCGTGAAATGTCAACGCACTTGCAATGTTGCTTTCGTTGGACTTGGTGCATGTATTCCACCTAATGTGATATCTTTGCACGGCTTTTACCTCTCCATCCTTGTTCCTTAAAGATCCATTGGTTGCTTTAAAATGGACCAGATTAACATTCTTCCCAAGCAATCGAGTGGTATCAATCGCACCTCAATACCTATGGTACTTAATAACATATCAGTAAAAATAATTTTAATGTAGCCGAAAATAGAAAACTATCGTTTTGGTATAGAATATAGCAAAAGTGCCCAAGAAGGAAGATAAGAAACAATAGGACACAAGTTAGCAGAGCATTCAACTCAATGAACTCCTATCAACAAATATATAAGCTCCAGCTTGAAAAGGTATAACCGTTCGAAAAACGAGCTTGAGATGCTTGAGCTTGAGCTTGAGTACCCCGGCTTCAACCAGTATCTACTTGCAGCATTTGACGCAATCACCCAGACACTAACCTCTGCGAACAATAAAGCGGACCTACATGAAGCTCAGATTGCGAGCACAACTGTTGCGGAGGTGGATAAGGGAACAATGCAAGGAAAAATGGAGCATACCAAGAGTCATCAATAAAGTACGTCTTTGAGACACGCTGCTACTCTAGCCTAGAGAGAGTTTATGAGCAGTGTCAAGGAGAATCGATCGAGGATGCACGTTGCCAGAGCATAATCGTGACTAGCGAGAGAAGACGCGCACCTACCCACACGCACACCTAAGTGCTTACGGAGCTGCCTAAATTCGCAAGAATACGAGGCCTCCATTGTTAGCCCTCATTCACTAGTAACCCAATCCAACAAAGCCACTACAGCGGACTTCCGGGCAACTTGTTCGGTCATTCAAACGATATTAGACTATTTAAGTCGGAATTCTCAAAATCTTTGAGTGGCGTCTACCTGTTGTCAATTGTATGTAAAAGCTGAGCAACACAGATTCGGACAAATACAATACTGGTTGCAAAACTTCAATTATCTAGTGTTGAAATTTAAAGTAACCATACGAACGCGTGCAAATACAATGGAAATACAATACCTCCACACGAGCAAATTCGCCACTTCAACACACCAAGAGACCAAAAAATTCACCAAGTGGTAACAAATTGGTTTTGCCTACAAAAGTACAGACAAAAGCTCCTGACCCGATGCTTGCACAAAATAACAATGACGTCTACAACACAAAAAGATTATCTCATTTCAGCACCCTAACCGCTGCTCCTATCACAGCTTATCGATGCTGCGTGATTAGTTAGCAAGCAGGGGTACGTTCATCAACACCTTTGAAATCGATCGCTCGGTAAACCCATCTGATTCCATTCCTATGACGTCGATGCACTGCTCTAACCTCTCAAATACCGATGTTAACGACAGAGAACACCCTGTGCTACCAAATGCCATCACAAGTGGATTAAATGGAAAATTGATGCAAAGATAGTTAAAACAACAGAACGACGACGTGAGGCAATGAAAAAGCTATTAAAGCGCCGTTGAATCACCAACAAAGATAATTTAAAATAATTGAGCGCATGACTAAGAACCAAAAGTTAACGGAATTAGGCTTATGTGGGTTCTTAAGACCACAAGATAACTAGTTTTCATGGAGAAAAACTTCACCAACACATGCCACACCAGGAAAATTAGTGGAATAACGACAACTACACCATATCGAGGTGGCAGAACATCTTAAGCACCAGTGATACGGTGCTGACTAGAAACTACAATTCTATATAAAATACCCCTTCTATCTAGAGGATAAGGTATCGAAAGAGTGAAACTTCCGCGATAGATCATACTTGCATCATTGAATGTCAGACAAGAAATGAAGATCTAAAGCGTAAAGTACAATGAAAAGAAGACCTCAGTGTCGCACTACAACACGTATATGCACAGAGCGAAGTAGAGCAATCAGAAGGATGTGAAGAATGTGCATATAAATTAGTTACAAAGCCTCAAAAACGCACACAAACACACATACACGCCAAATGGCAGGCAACGATAGTTCTGGCACAAAGTATAATGAAATTACGAGTCACATAAAAAAATAATGGGGGCATCCTGGGCACATTAGCAATAGGAAAACCAAGTCAAAATTCACATTAATATCTTATATCTACAGAGAACTAAGGAACTGTGCAGTGATACACCTCATTAGAAATTCACAGATATCACATACATAGGAGTGAGGGAACACAAAAAGTACCGTTTCATTCAGAAAGTAAAGAATAAACAGACACTTCCCAAGTTTAGTAATGTTAATGTACAAAGGCTGAGTTACCCAAACATAACAGCTGGATTATCGGTAGCGCCCAAGGAGGCACTTTTTGGAAAGGCGCTGCCTACAGGTATGGATGTTTATGTAGACGGTTAAGAGTTATTTTGGACGGGATAAGAAACCACGTAGAGGAGCTCAGAAGTTCAAATGTTAAGTTCAAGAAAGAACTTTCGGGATTTGAAAAGCAAAACTTCCATTGGACTAGCTAGAAGCTCTTTGAGCTGTGCTTCGCCATAGGAATCGGCCATGAGGTCTAGTAATAAAAAAATCGGATATAAAGGAACGTACCGGCAATGGCTGCACTGGTTTCAGGGCAATACCACACGGTGAGGATGAATTTAAGGTAGTCACGAGGGGAAACTTCGTGTCGGAGTGGAAAGACATACTTATACTCGCAGTCGGAATCGGTCTCTGATGGATCGGGTGTTAGTGCATTCATGATGGGTGCATATTCTACAACAAGTTTAAATTCTTTTACAAAGTTGAGTGAGTCCACCAGGCGTGAATAAAGTTTCAAAAAAGTGACTGAACATCAGACAATGAGCCAATAGTATGATTGGCTACGATTAGCCCCCACAACCCAAAAATCCAAAGCTAATATCATTAAATCAATGGTACCGCCAAATTAAACAAACAAAACCACACTTGAAATGGAGGTAGAAAAATAATTAGTAAAATAAAAAAATGATCACAGACATAAAGCAACTAACAAAAACTGCTTTAGGCTGTTTGGACTAAAAATTCGAAGTCTTAGACTATTTTATTGTGCTAGCCCCAGCACTTATGGCACTTAAATAAAGTTAAACATGTACATGAATTCTTTATCAACTGCAGCATTGCTAAAAATAGGAATCGTGAGCAGTATAATTGGTCTTTCTAGTTGGAAATTTGTAACAGTGCTTTGGATGATATAAGGGAAAGCGAAATACAAATCTTAACATAATTCACTGTTGTGTATCAAAGATGTTTTACTCGACATTGTAGGTTAGAGGCAGCTATATAGGCGTAACCGTTGATGCTGATGTGGTTTTTGTTGGTGTTATGCTTCTTCTCATGTCTTTGCGTGTGAGCATTGGTTCTTAGCTGTAGTACGTGTTGGAGAACGTAAATGGGTGACTTTTTTCGCAGTACATGGGACGATGTCGGAAGGAGTCTCATATTGAGTCCCATGAGCATCTTGAAAAGTGAGACCGCTGCTAAGTTGCACGCGGAGGCTTAGTTGGCAAGGTTGACGAGTCCTAGATGCAAGTTCCAATTTTTAGGTTGCACTCCTTCAGTAAAAGCTTTTTTAAGGCAGACACAATGCTATATTTCGTTCTTTCTACTTTATTGTACTGGGATGTTCCGGCGTCGTGCTCATTTTACGGATTGTAAAGGCCTTAGTTCTTAGAAGAGACGAACTTCAAAGTTCGGCCCTTGGTCGCTATGTCCAATGCTGGCATTTCCATCAGCTGAAGGATGTGGCTACCAATGTCTTATCTTTGTGCAATTGTATGGGTTCAGCTCCAGAATCCTGAGTGAATTATTTATCACCAAAATAGAACGGTATCTCTCGCGGTCGTCGGGAGTGGGTTCATGAGGCGCGTAGGCTGACTGACAGCGATTTCAGTGTCGTGTGGATTTTTGAAGCTGATACTTGTTGTGCATATGTGACAGGAGTTGAAGACATCCATTGTCAACGAGGACCACAAATATCTTTCCCCCATATGTTCCAGTTGCAACTCCAGCAGGGTTGACTGTGCCAAAGGATCTGGTACCACTAGACGTTTGGAGTCCTCCTCTATTTCTTTGCATAACTTGACGTCATCCTTGAGATAGTTTTCCTAATTTTACCATATGGTCAGAGGACTCCTTAACCATGAGCTTGGCTTGGGATGTCTTCATCATCCCGTACGGAAAAGCTATCTGGGTTGGAGGTATGCGTGTTTTTTCATTGGAACATAGAACGTCCGCTCAGTAGTAGTGCACCTATTGTGACGTCGCCCGTAGACGAGGATGGATATCTCCATGCATTGCCGTGAGAGATTCCTTTCCCATACTCCCGGAGTTCTTCGTACCATCCAGTGACTGAGCTGTTGATCTCCTTCACCGTCTTCAGCCATTTTAGTGTTTAATGGCCTGTTCTCACTACGAGCTGTTTGCCCATAACGTAACGTTTGAAATGCCTAGTCATTGCATACGCGGCAGAGTTTGCGTTCCGTTTCACTCCTTTGCCCCATCTCTTTACTTAAACGCAAGCTCCCGTAAGCAATGATAAATTCTTCCCCGTTTTCATTTTTTGGAGAAAACATCGTCTACCGCTCTATCGCTTTCGTCCGTGTCCATCACGAAGAGTGAGACATTGGCGTCAAAGTTGGGTTAGGTAAGCATTGGTGCCGCACGGGAAGCGTGTTTCTGTTCTTCTAACGTCTCCATGTGTTTATTCGCCAATCGGAACGCCTTTATTGCGTTTGTTTTCATCAACTTGTGTAGTGAACCTACGATCCTGACGAAGCCCTTGATGAACCGTCGATAGTAATATGTCGGACGCAGAAAGCCGCGGAGCTCTATTTGATTAGGTGGGGTCGACTACATCCTTAATTGCTTTCTCCCCTACCTCCACATGTCAGCAAATAGATTTCAGGTCTAACGTAGAGAACAACTTGGTTCCTTGGAAAGTCCAATGAGTCTTGAATGTGAGGTAGGGGATGCTCATTTTTCTTTGTTGCTGCATTGAGCCTCCTATAGTCGACGCAGAGGCGAAGGTTGTCTTTGCTCTTTTTAGCTGATGCGATAGGAGGGGTCCAGGGTGATTTGGAGAGCCTGGTTGCGATGTCATGTAGCCTCTCGTTAGGCGACCGATGTACTTCGTCTTGGAGAGGATAGTATGCGTTCAGGTGGCTGCTTCACCGACATCGACCGTGTGTTTAACTATGTCCTTTCGTCTCAGGAAGACATTTGCAATTCCTCTTAGCGTTGGCAACTTGTTTTAGTTGAGCTTAAAAACTGTTTAGATTCGTCCTGGTAACGGTTAGTGCAGCGTAAAGGAGTCTACATGTCAGTTGCGTCTTTTTTTTGGGTGAGAAGTTGGAGACTTCTTAAGATTTAGATAGATAGTGAACATTCTCGTATCGGGGTTTATAGTCACTCAGGACTGGCGTGAAAAGTCGACTATTAGTTGCAAGTTCCAGGCATGTTCTGGACATAGCTCTAAATTCACTTCCAAACTTTCCTCTCTGATTGTGAGTCCGATGACGACTTCTCCTCTTACCGATACTTCCTTTCGCTCTGTAGTGCATAGATTAGTAGCCGGCGGGGTGATATGAGCATCATTACAAATTATCGAGAAGGCTTGTGGGTTTGGTAATGAATGAGCTTCCACCGAGTCCGGAAGGATGTCCATGCGTAGCCTTCCATTCTGGGTTCCCTGCACAAACGCAAGAGATCGAGGTGGCTTACTCCATATTGGAGTGCTGCTTGAATACTCACGCTGTCGTTTAGACTACTTTTGTCATCCATGGGGAGCCTCAGGATACAAAAGGATGTCGAATTATGTTGAGAGTAAGAGCTGCCTGTTATCAGTTTAGTAAGTTATTCCGCCAAGGCAGGTGGATGACAGCCCTTTTCAAGCTGAGGATCTATTTGAGGCAAATTTGAGAAGGCAATAGTCTTTGAAGGCTCGTTAAGCTAGGAAATCTCATCGCTCCCTCCAGGTTTCTGGATATGCTTGAAAAGTCTCCAAGAAGAAGCCAGCCGTTAAGATTAATGTCTTCTTTAAAGGGAGATGTCGGCTGGCACCATCGTTAGCATAGTCCCTCGGCCTACCCTCGGGCTCCTGAAACTCTCGTTCCATAAAAGGATTGCACTAAGAAGTTTTATTAAACATTCTTAATAAAACAGAACGGAGTATGTGTATAGTTAAGACGGCGTTGCTTTGGACAAGGATCCCTGCGATTTCCAAGCACTGGAATCGCGTTAATGGACCGCCTCTCCCATAGAAGGATAAGTTAAGCACCGTAGCATGTTACACAGTCTCACATCTCCGTAAACCACGCCCTCTGTTCAAGGCCAAGGAGAACCGTCAAGTGTATTTTCTTCTACCAAAACAAAGACTTCATCTTCATAGCCTACTAGGGCATGCTCACATGTAATCGGCCTCTGCTATACGGAAAAATTAAGCACGGCATAATGTATCAAGCACCTGGCACTCCCGCACGTGGTCTGGCCAAATCGTTTCTGCCCCCTCTTAAAATACATGTAATCATCACAACACAATTCCATCTTTTACCTAAGGCGAGATCCCAAAGCACCAAATCAAAGACTTACGCGACCCGATTTTCCTACGCACACAAATTAGTAAATGCATATTTAGGCCAATTATATTCTAAGCAGTTTAATACAGTTTTGATAATAATGTCTGATCTTAAACAACGGGCAGAGTTCATGATGGCCAAGTGAAGGCGTAGCGTTTTCATACAGCTCGTATATTCGTCAACATAGAAGGAAATGTTCAATCATGACAAGACCTGGGCCCCACCCTACACAGGAAATGAGGCATCTTAAGTAATTTCACAGGACAACAGAGTTTAAATAAATAAATTTGTCCAAGTCAAAAGGTCGTGGTTAGTTGTAATACACGATTAAAGTGATCACTTGAGCAGAATTTGCTGAGAGTAATACGTGCTGTTTTGAATCAAAAAGCAGCATTGTTCCTTATGTAAAATGCTTAAGATTATGACCACGAAACTTATAAGCTTGTAAAACATATATTGTTATTCCCTCGTTAACATTTTGCTTCTTCCTTGCGTATGCAGTTTGATAATTCCTATATCGGTAAGAAGCGCCATGCTTAACTGCTACTCGGAGCGGGTGTTTCTCTTTTCGTTTGTGCAATTCTTTGGGTTTGTTGATACGCGTCTTAGCCGTCATAAGGGTTTCATGTCTGTACTTGTATTCACATGTTTATTAATTAGTCTTTTACTGTTATGTAGCTGCAGTTCGGTACGTAGTTATTCATAACTGTAATCTCTACCAAATATATGGAAACCGCCTTTGACCTCTCCCTGCCTGTATTTGCATTTTTCGCGTATTTTCGTATAAACGGAATGATGTTTATAAACTTTTGCCTGTTTTTTTCGTTTTCGTTCATTTTCGCCTTTTTTGAGCCGTGTTTATTAATAATGTGTTTTAAATGGATGAGTTGATGGACGACAGTCAGTGGATCAATGGTACAGTGTTGGAAGTTCCGTCTGAGCGATGCCCTGTGATCTTGGACCCCCTGACGAGGCTCAACTTTCGGATGCTTATCGGTGACATTTTAAAGCTGTCACCGTCTCCCATATCCACCGGTAGGTTTTAATGAACGTAAATTTGTCGTAGCGATTATGGGACTTGCTACTTCTCTTCGTTAGTTTTTCCCGTTCTTTATCGAAAACAGTTTGCTTGTAACAAGTGACAGATCTGTTTCTCACTAAGTGCTTGCCTACTCCTCTGGAATCGCGATAGATTGTGATCTTTATAGGCTTATTTCGCTTTGGTTCAAGATGGGTTTCTTACGTGGATATTTGTGGTATCGTTCGCCAAATTGATATTCGTGAAAAGTGCTATATTGTCCAAGGTGAGCTATTCATTCATTACAGTTGCTACTTGCCCTTCCCATCTTTTAAGCAATTTCGGAAAAAAAGGTGTAACTATGACAGGTTCTGTTCGTTACCTAGACTGATGAAAGTGAGACATGATTTTTATGCTTGTAATGGTAATGTGTCTACGTTATTCTAGTTTGCAATAAACCTTAACGCAAGGTTTCTGACTTTTCATGTCCGTGGAAGTGAATCGTCACGGTAATTGTTGCTGCTCACCACTACTATGAATTTATCCATAAATTATGGATGACTTTCTCTTGATTTCTTGAGGTTATTTGTATTATCCAACGAACTTGAAATTTGTACCGTCTTTTAAATCCCGATGCTGCAACACTTTGAGATTTAAAAACTTGTTGGTCTTTAGTAAATTTGCTCCTGTTTTTGGAGTGCTTATGCTTCCCATTGCGATAGTAGTGTGTCGGAAGTGCAATCATTGCTTTTTTGAGATCTCAACACTCTTTTATGGGATGAGGTCAAGGTTGTTAACTGTTGTCTCCAATTTCAATGCAAAGACAATTGCTTTTGTTCCGCTTCAAAGGCGACATTTCGTTCATGAAACTATGTCTATTTCCTGGTGCACAGCTCTAGAAATCTGAATGATTACTTTCCTTACCTTCTCAGTTTTCTTATTGCTTTAAATACCTTGAAATGATTGTTTGGTTCATATTTAAAATAGTTTGGCTAAGTTCTGTAACAATCTGTTCAACCAATTGGACTAACCCAGTAATTTTCATCCATGCCTGCCATTTAACTGCATTGTCATTCGTTGGTAATGTGTATTATGGTTTGGCATTGCTCGACTGCTTTTTTCTCACGCTTTCATAATCATTTCAAGTGCTGGCGGTAGGGTTAGGACTGAGCATGGCGCATTTTTCGCTCCTCTTGAAGTTGACGATGGCACAGGCCTGCTGAGGTGCACCATTTGGAGAAAACACGTCTCTCAGCACTTGTCTGACTATTCCCAAGAGTATCCTGCTGAGAGTGTTGCATTAGGCCAAAAACTTCTCCAGTTGGCCACTCGCTTCACACCTGTTGTTTACCCTAACGGGAACATCACATCAAACCTCGGAGTCGGTGACGCTATCAATCTCCGCGGCTGCTTGCAGCTTTTTCGCAAGACTATCAATATCTCCGCAAGTTATTGCCGTAAGTTCTGTCGCCAACTTTAAAACCACCCTCCGTTAGGCGTGATTACGAATCCACAAGAATTGCTTGACAGCGTTTTACAAGCACATCAACTCAAGTCTCGGGTCTACAGTCGCTCTTATAACGCGGTGGAAGTGTTGGATCACCTCAAAGCAGACCTTCAAGTAAATTTCTGCCCTTCTGTTGCTCATCTCCATCGTCTTCTTTGTTTTTTCAGAAGACCATAAATAAAAGTCTTCTTCAGCGGATTCAGACAGTGATTGAGAACAATGAGCTCTTCCTGTTCACACCATTGGATCTTCAATTGAATGCCGAAGTGATCCAACAAATTAACATGGAAGGTGCAGCGACGGAGGACAATTTGTCCGTAAGTAGAGTCTACTTTTATTTCTGCTTATTTGTCTTTCTCGATGACGTAATATTTGAACATGTCCTAGTGTTGTCGAAGTTTCTCTACTAAGGTTGACTATGCAGTAGGAATATCTTCCCGGAATCAGTAGAATATTATCCTTATTTTCTGTGAAATAGTACGGACCAGATTGGGAATGTATCTCTTCGCAAAAAAATGCAAATGCTAAAAAGCCCAGTGAATCTGTTGAACTGAAGCGCTGTGTACAAGCTATAATTGAGCAGTTGCTGATGGAAGGAACCATCTTCCGCTCCGTCGATATCATCGGCGGAATGTACGCCTATCAAGTGAGTGCCCCTTCGCTCTCCTCCTTCTAAGCCGGACTCTGATTTGTCCTTCGCACTCTAGTACACCCTCAGAAACCGAAACCTAGCCAAGCAGATTTGTTACATCATTTCTACGGAACAGAGGGGTACGTTTTGTCCCCCTTATGGGATATGAACGGTAGATAGTACCTCCACCCCCCTGTGATCCATGTCATTACTGTCAAACACGTTTTTCTTTTCCCCTAGACTATGAAAGGGGCGTTCCCTTTAACATCATTTTGGAGAAATTGCGTTCCTTTAGTTCATCTAAGAACTCGCAGCGCCTCTACAGGTGGATTACTCGTCAGGCCTTGGAGATACTGATCAACACCCTCTTGGAAAGGAGTCTTATCTATTCTGTCAATCCAGGCTGTTATAAATTGGCTTAGAACCTTCACTAGTACCATTCCTCAATAATAGTAGCTTCTGATAATGTCATTTACATTTCTATAAACACTGTTCCATTCCAACTCATTTTCATTATTAGTGGCGGATCAAGGGTATCGGGTTGCAAGTAAATGGCTCTCCGATTATGTGATTCTGGACGTTGGTGATGTCCCGTGAGGAGAGCTAATTTAAAACTTTCACCGTGTCCTATCTGAACGTGCTTTAGTCTAAGGGATTTGCAAGAGATTGGTACGGATTGATGTCTTGTTGACCCGTCTACGAGGCACGAATGCACAATGCCCAGCACCGAGCAACAAATGGAGAATCAAGTTACTAATAAGACCAAGTGCTCAACCGTGTGCCTCTCCGATGGAGCTGCGTAAAACCACTTACGGGACTAGCGGAGCACTGACAGCAAATTGTCAATGTCGTCTGGAGCCTGTAATGTTATACCCTATCACAACAGTTTGGTTCAAATTAAACTAAATTTTTGTCTCCAACTCTAGCACTGTAGGTCCTCAGCGTGAAGAAGAAGGCGTCCGGAAAAATTGTTAATGTGGATCACTGTAACAGTGATTCGGATTTTCAATTGATTCCATGTCATTCAAAATCCCTTTAGGATGAGCCATTGCAAGGTCAAGACAATTTCCGAAAATGTCTCGAAGAATGGGGCTGCGTCTTGGTGTCTATAGAAACTTCCAGATTACAAGCGCAAGATCTGAATGAACAAATTCAAATACACCTCAATCACTGTCTACCAAGAGGCACTTTTAGATGTCCTCAAGAGTGAAAACAGTGTGGGATGTGTCGACAACATTTTTTTCACAAGAATGGCTAGGTAGTTCTGGTGTTCACGTGCAGCAAACTTGCAACCAGCCACTTAACGGGAAGATGATAAATGCAGAACGAAGTGCAAATGGTACGTAAATCGGAGGTTTCATCTCATTGTTGAACTCGACAGTCAAAAGGCGAAAGAATATGCTGCAAGAGTTGAACTGGGAAACTTTCCAACTGTCAGTGTAACAGAATCGCCAGCCATGCCAAGGAAACGCAAACCGTATTACCAACTGTAAGTCTTTTCACCTTCCCTAACTTGAATGCGAAGCTCGTTCTACTTGATTATATGCTCTTCGTGTAAGTCCTCATCTCCTCTCCAATTCCAGGTCTTGGCGCTTTTATAGACAGAATTATGATTAACTTCAGTTGGTTTTGTTGAGCTATATTACAACACCAAAGAAACGCCACAGATTGCATCGATTCATCTGCGTGTCGCTGTGGGGATTGAGTAATACATGGGAGCACAAGGCGGCTCAGTATTTCCCATGCGTGACTTTTACGTGGACATGCAAGTACACACACATACATATCAATTTAAACTCAAGGGCGAGACAACAAACGAAGTCGGACATTGACTCCTCATTTGCTAACTGATCCACCCTTCTCTGGCTCAGTAGTAAAATCCTCGCCTTGCCAGTCAGGAGATGTCTTCGAGAGCTCATTGAATCCTCCACCACGGTCGCCATCACCGTCATCACCACCCTCTTCATTCTGAACCTCATGATTGCCTTTACTAATCACGGGTGCGTAGAGGCATGCACAGCAGCACAGACCCGTTAGTGCATGTCGAAAATGCACACCAAGGATAAGGTAAATCGGTGGCTTTAACACAATGAACGCAATGTTAAGGCACTCGCTAGCCATTCGGGTAAAGGCTGGGTTCATGTCTACGTAGCGCTCCAGCTCCAATGCCACCAGAATAAGTTTTGGAATCTTGGTTATGAGTAGAAGGAAACCCAGACACACTGTAATAACTACGTTAGCTGTTTCCTTCAGATTTTGGCGAGGCGGAGGGACGAGGAAATAGAAGGGCATTAGATCAGAGCGCTTCTCGAAGGGAATGCCGCAATAGTAGATTTGTGTTCCACAAGTCTCCTCAAAGGCAGACAGACGTGGAGGGCTGGGGATTGCATCCACATAATCCATTGGGATGACATCTACCTGGTCAACACTGCGCTTACGCTCGGGTCGGACCATAGGATAGCAATTGGCAAAATCATCACCACAGCAGCAATAGGCGGACTGTGAACAGAGACTTGCGACAGTTTTCCATTTTGATGAGCCGAGGTCGACCATCTTGGAGACTGCAAGGCTTGTCAACAGTCCTACTGCAAGATAAGGAAGAAACATTTCCAGAGGGACGTTCAGCAGGTAGTCCACAAGGCTCCTGAAACAACACCGAAAGAGAAAATTCAGAAATTGAGAACTAAAGATTCATTGAACCCTCATACAAGCACTCACCTGTAGACTTTTAAAGTGCCGAATTCAGTGCAGATAACACGATAACCTCCGGGAATTTTGGGGTTCTTCTCACTCTTCAGCTCAAAAAAACGTGGAATGATGTAGCAGAAGGCAAGAAAAGTGACGACATAGACGATGCGAACGTGGCGTTGAAGCGAGGTGACTGATTTGGAAAAATATCCGCGATGAAGGTATAGATATCTCTCGACTAGCAGACAAACCACTAGCCAAACCTAGGAGATGTAGAAATGTTAGAACAATTCAGGAAGAACAAACTCGACTGCAGTGCTATTTTAGTGGCGTTTTGGACAAAACATCGAGGCCTTTTTCTTATCCCAGAGTATTTCAAGCACAAAAGATGGAAAGCGTACAGGCAACTTTGGAAAAAGAAGTTTACCTAGAAATGGCCGTATGTGATTCCCGTTCAAAGTGACAGCTGCTGAGAGGGAAATAAAAACCCGGAAACCATAGACACAGTGGCATGATTTCACAAGCAACTTTACAAAAATTATCGGAACAATTAATGGGGTGGAAAGAACTACGGACTGAAGGAATAGCATGAAAACTAGTGGATGGAACAAGTGAAAAAGGATCCAAGTCAAGGCACTAAAATTCTGATGAACACGGAAGATCTTGCATTCAGAAAAGCTTCGTGACTGCAACTTAAGGCTCGGTTATTCACCAATTCCCTAACTCGCTCACCCTCTCAGCAGTGCATCGACTAAATTTTAATAGAAATTTACCACTTATAGGTGGTCAGAGTATAGAAATCGAGCGCAATGATGTCAAATAGAAGCCAGCTTAGAAAACCAATACCAATGCCTTTTCAAGGCAAGGGCACTTAACCTTAAACTGCACCTTGAAGAAGGGCAGTTAAATTCGGAATTTCTACTTTTGATAGGCTGTAAAAACGTCTATAGCGATCCGAATTAACTTCGACGAGTCAATTTACCCAAGTGCACAGTGGAGGACAACACAACAAGCCACAATGCGATGACCCCCTAAAATGCCCAAGACTTTAAATACCACAAAAAAACTTACAGAAGCTAACTCACAAAACACCAGCAAAGGCACAGCGCCAGGAACGAAGTAGGCCGCCCGCTCGGCATAGGCCTTTTCCTGCCCTGCATAGCTGACATCACTCAAATGCACCGATGCCCTGATTATCAAAATGATACCCGAGTAGACACAATCGAGCACAGCTATGACTGAAAAGTAGAGAGTAGCTCCAGAACGGTTGGTTGCCCTGTTGAACCCCACTATACAGGCGAGGTTTAAAAGAAGACCTGCGGAGCAGAGGAGACTAAAAACCACCCCATATACTATGAAGAGAAGGCCTCCATTAGAAGGACCTTCACAAAAGTAGTCGTCGTAGCAACCAGCAGCGTTGGAGTCATTTTCGGCTATCAAGCTCTCCGTTGCTGATGAGACACTTGGAGGCGCGGTGGTATTTGCGACAGTACTGGACATCAATCGTGGCGTTGCATGAACACAAAAGCAAAACGATTATTTCTAAAGTTGGGTCAAAAATTGGTTTCATAAGTAACAACAAACCTGACCATTGTGCTGTGCAAAAACAATATTAACTGCCATTTTTTCGTATGTCACAGCTAAAAACATTTAAAATAAAATATAACACTGAGCATAAAAAGTCAGTTGAAAATCAAGTCACTCTTCTTGGCAGATAAAAACCAACAAATTGGTAGTGTCTAAACTAAGTTACCGTGAGAATTCACTTGGGTGAGGTGCAATTGCGCAGGTTCTGAAGCGGGAAATGTAATTGCACCAGTCAATGAATTTCGGATATGATTTAGCTTCTGGATCGCCAAGGAAATCTGGGGTGCAGTATTTTTTCAATGCTTCTGCTTTCTCGTAGTACAAACTGGGAGACTTTTCCGGTATTTCCGAGACTGTTGGAAGATTAGTGTAATCGCTCATCAGATCCAGCACTTCAACGAATCCAAAATCCAAGGCCATTTCAGCTAAAAAAATTCAAAATAAAAGCATATCAAGAAGTATTTGCGCGAAACTTGAACGAGTAAAGCAGAAGCACACTTTAGGCAGGCTTCAACGTCGTAATATTAAGAATAAAATCAAGAGCTACTTGAAATCGGAATAACAGCATCAGACCAACCTACAAAATGGTGGTTCCCTTAAGTTTTCAATTATTACCCAACTGGAAATTAACACCATTTGCAAAAAAACATTACAAATTATATGAATGCGATACAAAGAATGTGCCATATTTGACCTCGTTTTTATTACACAGACCATAAGGGGAATCTGAGAGGATACGTCTTGATAGCACGAAATCAAAAATATCAGAAGTTACATTCCAAGCATTTGCCAAATTATGTGTGATATCCGAAGGAATATGTGGCAGTCTACCGTAAATAGCTTCCTTTATTATGCTTTAGCCACCCAAACAACACATAAAGCCATTTTGACCACAAGATTATTTCAATATGTAATGCAACACTGGACACCGAACACGCGACGGGACAATAAACATCAAAGTAATTCCAAGCCAGAGCTCTATGCCCTCTACAGTAAAAATTTGTCTTGAATTATATAAACAAAATGAAATCATTAGTAATAAGATTAATCAAGATTAATCAAATTTAATTTTCATTTTCAATATAAAAGCTTTACTGCGTTTCGGCAATTGCTTGTGAATTTATCTCTTTGTTATGACTACACATATTAATAAAATTCCGAAGAACCAAAAGAAATTTTTTTGCAAGACTCTATAAGATAGGTTGGTTCTGCAACTGCTGCACACAAGGCCTTACATTACATTCAAAAAAAATACGTGACGGAATGGTCGAGAGGTCACCTCCGCACTAACTTACACTTATACCCGTAAGCTAGCTTTTGGACCAAACCAAAACCCGATTCCTCCACTCCTCCTAGGATTAATCAATTTTGTCCCGTTTGCTTCCATTTTAATACCTATGAGGCACATTTTACTTAAGTATGATCCTGCCCAGATTTGCAGTTGTAGCGTCCCGGGGCTTCCCATAGGGTAGTAGGAGGTGTAAGTGTGGTTTAATACATGTATTCCGAAAATAACTGGAGAGATGGGGCCTGAGCGCGGCCCAAGACCAGCCCACGTGTACGGGGGCCAGACAAATTCCAAAATGACCGCCGAACGTCAGGTAATCACATTAACAAAGCATTACACTGCACCTCTCTTCTTTTGAGCGGCGTCCTCGATGCTCTCCCACACTAGCCATCACAACATATTCGTTAATACAGGAAAGCACCCACGAGCCAATTGCGCCAGTCGACAGAGAGCATGAGACTGAGGAACCATACCTGGTCCCCTCAGCAGCCTTAGCTGGATCCAGATTTACGTTCGGTCTGACAACCAGATTCGGGACCGCATACACCTGTCGACCATCAATTGCTTCCAGGAGTGGATGGTAGAACTCTGGTCTAAAACATATATGTTACAGGAGAAAACGGGATGAGCCATTGTTACGTGTGCGAGGAGAATCCCAGTGTCATTTCCGACACCTAAACACGAATTTTGTATGGGAACTTTCAACACGAAACGTTTCCAGATAGTTCATGGCGGTGCCGCTTCAGTTGAGAATAACTCGTCAGTGGAACACGGAAATAAGGTGAAGCCAAATACAGACGTCAGTCTAAACCCCTTCGTTGTGGAGGATTCAGGGATTCTCCGTCACCAAGGTAAATGCACCCCCTTCAATTCACGTCCCATTTCGTCTGTATCTTCATCTATTGCACTTCGATAGAGTCAGACTTCCTTCTACGCATGTATAGCTCATGACTGCCGGTGCACAACGCCAAATTGCACTTATTAATCTTTGATTTCTTCACTAGAAAGTGGAATTCGTGTACAGTCTTGTCTGCTGGTTGGATTATAAGCTTCTCGTCGTGAAAAGAGAGGTTTCCAATTTCTGGTCAAGGGAGTCCGATTTTGGGGTCCAACAGATTATCAGGCTCATAGATACTCAAACCCGAAGCCTCAACACCAAGAACAAGCAACATACATCCCCAGATCCTGTGTGATTTGTAGGTACTGAACCATTACATCATCCGATTGAACCATTGCCCTTCGGCCTGCTCGTACTGTTCTTTTTCGGAAATCGGTCGACTAATTGGCAAAGTTTAGCAACACAAACGCAGGATGCCAGTAAGACAGCGATATCTGTTGAACAACTGATTTTCCCACACGCAATGTCGCTTTCAAAATAAAATGTCGAGTTCTCTTTCTGCTGACCCCAGTGTAGCGTCCCGAGGCTTCCCGTAGGGTAGTAGAAGGCATATAAGTGGGGTTGAATACATGTATTCCGACGACAACCGAAGAAATGGGGCCTGAGCGTGCCCCGAAGGCCAGCCCACGTGTACGAGGGTCGGACAAATTCCACAGTGTCCGCTAAACTCCATGTGGTCACATAAACAAAGTATTATATTAGTATTAACAAAATTCGAATCAGTTTTTTCGCCAACTAAAGTGAGTGCACATTTAACTGAACCTCATCTGATTTAATGAAGTTTAACTGGGTTTCGCAGATGCCTTCCCTCCCTCAAGTGACCTCGGTCCTCTCACACGTATTCTTAGCCCCGTATTCATCAGATTGACCCAACAGTTGTTTTACTATATTTGGTTTTTAATGTTGTTTTCGTTACTCACAAAGGCAATACTGCTGATTATTTTTGTGTAGGCGATCTTATTTTAGTTTTTTGTTGCGTGCCCTTTTCTTATTAAGCCTTTGAAACCGATTCGAGTATTCGAATTATATCAAGGAAATTTCGTTTGCGAGCCTCCTCCAAAGCCGTAGTTCCGTAGCCTGTTAAGTGATTCGGGTCCAGACCCGCTCCGCCATGTTCAAAGGACTCATTTTCATCATTATCGTCGAAATCTGGAACACTTACAACCGTTTTAACTGGAGTGATCAAGTAACGTACGACTTCTGGTTGATGGTGAACAACTGCTGTGTGCAGTGTAGAACGACCTTCTGCATCCAGTTCCTAAAAAAGTCCGTCAAAATTTAGATTATAATTAAAATTTAATTAATTTAACATAAGCAGGCTTATGCTAGGTTGAATGTGTATGTATACTAGTTGAAACTCATGGTGCTTGAACGCATGTCTTTGGTCAGTCGGAATTCTTTTACAGACATAGACCTTGGGCACTCCATCTCTCACCTAATTAAGTTTAGCTGAGGCCTAATTCGGGCTTGGCTACCACTACAATGGACGGTGCCGAATTTTTGCTCACTTGCCTGAAGAGTAAGCCCGGCGAGACGGTAGAATCGGAGTTGGCGTAGCTTGCCACTACTGGCCGCAAGGTTTGCCTCACGGGCGCGCGCAGACGTGATGTGAGGCAGACGACAACCGAAGTGGCGCAGTAGACTGATGAGCGCAGGAGTACAATGGCGTCCTCGCACGGCGTAAGATAGTGGGGTAAAGCCTCGAGTATCTGCTATGTTGGCACTCGCCCCGTTCTCCAGCATTAGCCGACAAGCGGCGTATGCGCCCGCACCCGCAGCTACATGCAGTGGATGAACGCGTCTGTTGTCTGTATACTTAAAGGAGAGAAGTGGTTGAGATGTGGAATAGGGTAGATTTTGCTTTCATTATTCACCGTCGCAATTCAATTACCCCTTCAATAATACTAGAGTGCTCTCTAGTTGACAAATCACTGCTCCTTTTTTAAATCTTAGCGTATAATTTCACTATCCATCATTTGTGGCATTTCTACGTATAGATTTGCATGGTGAATTCCGGCAACAGTGCGGAATATTATTTAGTCCGTTTACACGCATAATACTGACTCGGTATCTGGCATTGTCGAGTGGCTTGAGAAGAGATAGGTAAAAGGGAGGTCATTGTTAATCAGCGCTAAAACCAAGAAGGGCTTGGATGCCCTTCTTGGTTCGCGCTGGTTCGCGAAGCCAGGTTACCATGCCAAGTATCAGTATTAATCGTTTTGACTATAGAGTCAAACCAGTTACTCATTATTTTGCAATTATTAATGCTACTTTAAACTCCACTGCGTCTAAGGTACAATTGAATGTTCTACTTTCTTGCCTCAAAGTGTCCCGCAATGTGAAGTATTTGTTCTAACATCTCCACATCATCATGATCTGCTGCAGCACATATCAGCGAATGGAAAAGGTTTTCAGACCACTGTCTAGCCAATCCGGTGGTTTCTGCGTTCAATAGCGCTTCTCCTAGCGCTGTAGTCATCTCTTTAGGCGCCGATCGCTCAGAAGTCTGACTGGTGCTCACTGAATGTCGACGATGGCTTCGAGTCTCCACAAATGGTTCAGTCATTTCCCCACGCAATGAGTGGGATAACATGCGCCTCTGTGTGACAGGATCATCCCACTTGCCCAACACGTAGGCCATCTTCATCAGCGCTGCCTCTGTAGTTATATCCTGCATAATAAAAATATCTACTTGACTCATAATTAGTACCAGTACCATTTCGACTTGCGATGGAGATTTTGAAGATGATGGTACTAAATTAGGCTTCAAATTGTTCGCTGAAAAGTGTTTAATTTATCAAATTGGTACTCGTTTGAATAAAATATATGGAAGAAACACCAAGCACTTGTTTGTAGCGGGATAGTATAGACCGATACGCCTGATGATTTGGACCCTAATGTGCACATAACGGACGTGGCCTTTGTTGGGGGTTTAGAATTTGTGCATGCATTGCCATAACGTTACCAGATCCAAACCTAGTATGGATGATTCACACAACGCTAGTTAAGATGGGTGTGAACTGTTTAGACGGTGTAATATGGATTTTAAAGAACCAAGCGTCTCACTTAAGTTCTGATTCGACTATAATAGATAGTCATCATGATTCAAAGTTCCACAGAATTAGTTAAGTCTAGGATCTAGATTTGTTTTTAGTTAAGCAGTTCGATCCTGAAAATGTATAACTCCGTGTCGTTAGGGTAGTCGAAAAGCTGGTCCATGAGCCAGTTGTGTGGGAGAAGGAGAAAAACGGGATCTGCAATGTTCTAACTCTTGACACTTACACAACCAGAAACAGCTCCGACGCTGCTCAGAATGGCGCCTGTTGCATAGACATTTGCTACAGTACCCTTCCAGCATTGGGTGACATTGAGGAGAACAATGTTATGTTCGTCATGGGCTTCTTTCAATGCCTCAATGAGTTCTGTGTTATTGGAGGGGACATTGCCTGTTCCATATGTCTCTAAAATAACTCCTGTTAATGCAAAATTATAAAATCAGTTAAGAAGTCGTGACAAACGCGTAAATCCTCTTTTGTTAGTCCATATAGTCCATATAGTCTTTTTTTTTTAAAAAGGTATTTTTCCAGTTGAGCAAATCTGACCTAACACCACTTGTCACTTTTCTGATCAAATGAGCCATAAAAAGGCCAGAGGCAAGCACATACCCTGCATAGGGGGCTGGAAGAACGACCTCACAGTGCTAATAGGAATGGAGGGAAAGAGACGCAGAATAGCTACGTTAGGGCAAAGGTTGGATTGAACCCGTAGTCGCTTGGAGGCCTGGTTAGACGCTAGCCAAATGCGCTCCTCGTACACCTTAATATGTTCTTCCATCACGGCCAGTGGTTCTGAATTCGGTGATGTAAAAGCCTCCAAGTCGGTGGTAGCTGCCTTGACTATCCGATTGCCGCGGTAAAGCTAAAATGCATCAAATTGCTTTTTCATAAATATCTAGAGACCTCCACACTTCAGCACAATCGTTCCTTTACTCTCCAGATGGTTGCACTTTCGTCCAATTGGCTGAACAAACCAGACCATCCAAATCTGCCGAGTTAAACATCATTCCGTGACTCTACAGATCTGGTAACGACGGCGAAAACTCACCTAATCACAAAACAGATTTTTTTGTTCATGATATTGTTTTGACTGCTCAATAGTGGAAGTTTACACGACTATCAATCAAATGCGGATATCTGGCTTATGAGGAGTGAACCACTCCGCTGAATCCTTCAATCCCATTTAGAAGCTCATATTTGACACCATTGTAGTGTACAATGTGAATACGGCTTCCATTATAGACATAAAAAGCACTTGTAAGATGATTCCAAAGGAGGAATTTTTGTGTCTCTTCGACATAGAATTATCCACAAAAGCATGAAATGATGTATATCAGACGCCAAGATCAGTTAGTGAGGAACAAAATGGAAAATCCCATGAGTCCGCTGTGAAGAAGAATTTTAAGTTTAGTAAAGCCATGGAGATAAAAAGACTCCGAAAAAAAGTCCCATAACAAGATCATACGATGACTTGTCAAAAAGGCTACAAAATAAATGAAATCATTTCATTGAACCTATATAAAGTGGTAAAACGCACCGCGTTTTGAATGAACACAGTAACCTCAGGAATGTCGTAGCCACCACCAGCAAAGAGCAGGGATCCTAGAAGATTAGTTCGCCCATCATTGCGAAGCCTATCTATGGGCAACTCACTACCAGTCATCACGACAGGTTTGGTGAGGTTTTCAAGGATGAAAGAGAGAGCAGAGGCAGCATAGGGCAGAGTATCAGTGCCATGAAGGATGACGAAGCCGTCAAAGTAATCATAGAAGCGCTCCAAGTCTTTGGCAAGGTTTACCCAAACCCCCACTTGGCAATCTGAAGAGTCGAGCAGAGTGTCATACTCTAGTAGACGGTAGAGGATACGTCGTCCATCCTCATCCAACGGCATCGCCAGAGGGAATGAGATGGTTGAAGGTGTCGAGGTCTTGATGGAAGGAGAAGGCGGTGTTTTCAAGCTGTTAAGCAATGGAGCATTTTCCCAAAACCTGAAAATCAAGTTGATTTAAAAATGATCACAATATATCAGGCTCCGCATCAGAGAAATAGAAGTGCCAAGTTCAACGCCTTTATCAACTATTTTAACGTAAAGCCGTTTAAAGCGAGAATAGAGAAACGCCTGATTGATGTAGGTATGCGCTAGAGACAGATTCTTGAAGGTAAACACAACTAACCATGTTTGCGTTGCTTAACATGTGAAAGGTGTGGCCTGTCTAAAAACTCTGCAGCTGGATAATTCATTCTAGCACTTTATTCAAAAACGAATGAGACGCTGAGTCAAGCACATGAAAGTTCATTGCAAGGCAACCAAGATTCTTCTAAACCAAATGCAATATCCACCTCCTTAGTGTGATTTCCAAAATGATCTGGGTGGGTATGTCATAGAAGAGTTTGTTTTAAGCGTCTGAAGGGGTAGTGCAACCATGAAGGATAAGAAGTCATAGCAACTGTGAAAACGTTAAAAAATTTAATGATTCTATATTTTGACATCTTTCTTCACTACGCCTTCCCTAAATTAGGAAGAGTTTGCTAAACAAAGCATGCTAACCAATGAAGGGCGAGTGAAAATTATAATTGTCAAAGGAACAAAACTGGTCAAACAAGAATCAATTGCAACAAAACTCACTGTGGATCGTTAAAAATAGGCATTTGGAGGAGATATCTTGTTAAAAAGTGTTGCTTTGGCTTATACACACCGCCTTCATTTTGCATTCCGATCGCACCACCTGTATACAAGACGAGCACTGTTCCGACAGCAGTGGTTCCGGGTACAGAAGCGGCGTAGTCCAAAAAACTTTTGTCCAGAGGCGCAACATCTGAGTATAGCTTAAATTTGAAATGATAAGGAGTGATTCGAAAGTTTATAATAGGAGATTACTACTAAGATGGCAAAATAAATTACCCCATTCGACCACTTTGGCTGAGCATTCTGATTGCGAAATGAAGTCTATGAAACGAGACAAAAGACATCGGCATAAAACACATTGTAAAACATTGAGGTTAACTTACAGGATTGGCTTTAGTGGTTGGATAATTAGCGGACAAGTTTTTAAAAATTTTTGGCACTCGCTTCAAGGAGGACCAGCTAAATGATTTTGACGGAGAAAGATTAGTCTCGTTGGCACCTGCTCACAAAAATACAATGCGTTATCGTAAAATAAGCTGACAAGTTAAGTAACAAGTATTTTCTACCAACTACAGCAAATCAGTATCTGACGCTAAACCAGCATAAAATTTTGATGAAGCATATTTGTGACGTAGTCAATTATTAAAATAAGAATGTGTAAGCACGTCAGTTAAGGAGACATTGGCAGCTTACTCATTTGTTCTAAAAGAAAACAGCATGTTAAAAGGGTATTAAGAAAGTAAAGCGTTTATATTATCTAGGATGATCAATTACATCGCGTGTTCCCACTAGTATTGTAACAAAAGATGCGTTCAAAAGCACCACTAATGCTGATGACCTTGAAAACTAGCGCAGAATAGATACAGTGGGCGACGATAACTTACTAAATATTTGCATACGACGTAAGACGTTTGCAACATATTTCGCAAGTGGATATAATACGATTTCGAAAACGCAACCAAGTATTCTTCAATCACAAATCATTGAGTACATTTTTCAAAAGGAAATCGCTGGATTTTAGTTAAATCAAAACCTCTCGTCTTCACTAGTCCAGTAAAAGATCTGTAATAATTTGTTCCTGTGACCTCCTCATGCCTGATGTTTGCGTTGCTTTTTCCCCCTGTATGCGTGTTTGACCTTCGAACCGTCTTAACCATTTTCGTCGTCCTCGCCCTCCTCCTCTTCCTCCTTCTCCTCCTCCTCCTCTTCTTCTTCTTCTTCTCCTCTTCTTCTCTTTTTCTTCTCCTTCAAAAATACATGCATTTTGCTCAAAGTCATACATTTTTTCATTTGAGATAAGCATTGATAGGTTACGCTGTTGGCAAAGGAAAGCGAATCCGACATTTTAACAACTTTTATCCTCTTATCACTGCTTGTGACACGTATATGCGTTGTAGAGAAAGCTCATTTATATCAGTGTTGAGAGAACCTCAAAAACTTTTACGGCAGGAAAATCGAGATTATCATAATGCTCCACAGACAAGCTATTAGCGGCTGGATCGACACAATCGTGAACCATCTGTAACAGTCTCGCATCGGAAGTCTTCTTAGTACACCCGAGTATAAATGGCGAAAATAATAACATGGGACCGTGTTTGATCCGTATTCCCTGTAAAAATTTGGTTTCTGCCAGTGCTCCAACATCTAGTTGCGGACACCATTGATGATCGACAGATATCTATTGCCACTATTCCTTACCTAAACCAAATATATACTGTGGCTTCTTCTACCATGGAGAAGTCTCGGAATGCTACAGGATTAATTTTGAAGACATGTTCAATCCCTTTTGTTACTGATGCACATCCTATCTACGTATCATGCAATTATTTTAATTTGCAATTTTTGATAAGCAAAAAAAGACTTGATCTGTTTGCTTATTCGACTCACTTGCGGCCAACTTGCTCCTATTAGATAGGCCCATAGCCTGTAGGTAGAAAGTGCCATTAAATTTGGCTGAATACATGTGTTTTGGGATGATAAGTGCAAGTGTAAGACAAATACCAAAGGCTTGGCAGACATCAAATGATCACAGAAACAAAGTACCACCCTGCCCCTCCCTGCTTTTGAACCACATTCTCGTCACTCCTCTTGATGCACCTCCTACGCCAACCATCACAACAAATTTTGTGC